ACCGTACACAGGGTACATTCCGGCAGTACCCTGGGGGACATAGACCCTATGAGCCGAAGTATTTGCTAGTCTAGTACTGGAGAAATTAGCGTTTGGATGCGCATTGTGAGCCTTTAATGTCTCGAGGCTACGCGTACGGGAGTCCATTCGCTTTCATACTTAACGAGACAAAGATGGCGACGGTGGCGCCAGATTTCGAAATAACGCCTTGGGAAATAAATTCGCAGTGGCTACGGGTACGGTAGCCGTCGGTCGTTGAAGCCCCTTTTTGGCGTTAGGGTTAGGGTTAGGGTTAGGGTTAGGATTAGGGTTAGGGTTAGGTTTAGGGTTATGGTTAGGGTTAGGTTTAGGGTTAGGGTTCTAGCTCATCTAAACTCTCAAATCGTGAATTTATTTCCCAAGGCGTTATTTCAAAATCTGGCGCCACCGCCGCCATCTTTGTCTCGTTAAGTATGAAAGCGAATGGACTCCCGTACCCGTAGCCTCGAGACATTAAGATACGGCTACCGTACCCGTAGCCACTGCCTTGGTTTTATTGGGACCCATGTTCTCTATCCTTGAACCATATGTATATCGCATCAGTATGTGGTAAATGGTGTTATTTTAAATGGCAGTGTGAAAGGGTTCAAGGAAATAAGAGCTGTCCCCAATTCAATTTCGCGATGTGCGACATGTGCAACCAAATGTGGACAGCTCTTATAGTTATAGTTATACTTAGAACAGTTACAAGAACAGTGTTCACTTGTTATAAAAACATACTGTCTGTGTTCGTAACCGAGCTGTGTCACGCGAAATCACACAAAGCCTGACGAAATTCTCGCGTTCGCTCCCATTGCGCAGTTTATGTAAATGGCTGTCAGAATCAGGAAACACCCACCGGCGCTCTTCGTGACCTCATCTTTGCGCCGCAACGCTGCAACGTTTTTGCAACGCTCCACTGGCGGCTTTGACGGGGCTCGTACGGGAGTTGGAAAGCAGCATGGTAGTTTCCCAAAATGCAGTGCGCCGCCTATAGCCCTGTACTTGCAGCCATTTACATAAACTGCGCAACGGGAGCGAACGCGAGAATTCCGTCAGGCTTTGCGTGATTTCGCGTGACACAGCTCGGTTATATACGAACACAGACAGTATGTTTTTATAACAAGTGAACACTGTTCTTCAAATAGAAACAAAGATGGAGTAGAATGGTTGAATATTTGTGTTGTATTCGTGTGAAATCAAGCGAGCGTCGAGCGAATTTTGGCAGCACGCTTTCCTACCTGCTATATATTTATGTGTCAGTGTGCAGCGGCAGTCATGGCGGAAGCCAGCGTTTGTTGCAGATGAGCATTTGGACAGCATTTGCAGGAAATTGTCGGCAATAATAGGTGAAAGAGAGTATACAAACATTAAGACTTTGGTAGTAAATAGATTTCGTATTTATTTAGCATTATATTTTATTGAAACGCTCCAAGTGCCTGTGTTGTTAATGAATAATGACTAGTGTTTGCTACTTAAAATGTTCCAGAAAACTTTGGTTATCATGCGTCCCCTGTCGGTAAGCATCCCAATGTTATCGAGGCCATGAAGTAGAATGTGCAGTTAAAAGCAGTAATTTTGAAGTAACGAATAAGTAACTTGCCAATCATTATGGTGTTAATTTGCCCTGGTGTTAATCACACCGGGTATATTTACGAAGTCATTAATGATTATACTGTTCACAACTACCGGCCTAAATGGAAAACATAACCACCAAAAAGGTAATGGTTGCTATTTTGATTATGATTAATATCAAGAGCTAATAAACAACTATTTTACAGGTATTTATTATAGCTCTTGTCAATATGCAACTGGCTCCGTTTACAGTGTTCCTGTGACTGTCTGACATGGACAGCATCTGGAGATATTTATGCTAAGCATCTACTCTTACGGTATACCCATGTACACTGCGAAACACGCCCAATATCAGCGCAGTAAGAAAGGACTAGTCGACTTGCATGTTTACATTAAAAAAACGTACAATTGTATTTGGAGCTGCCCTGCGGCATTGTGTTCTACACACACCTGGCTGATTTGCAGTCATCACTGCACACAATCAGAACAGGCATCGGCCCGTACAGTGCTGCGTTCGTCGTGAAGAAACAACTAAGAATTTATTTTTATTTTTCCGTCGCTGTTTTTAGGGTTAACTATTCGTGAAACGCACAAAGGTATACGATGGTGGTTATAGTAGTAGTAGGTGAACGCTAATAATAGGCATTTAGAACTTGACATTTATGTATTAAGATTGTAGATTGTTAGGTAACTAATGACCCGCTACGGTGAATTTAAGATCGATCCAGCAGAAGTGCTCTTGTTAGAAACATAATTTGTGAGCACTACTGGGCAATGAGTATTCACGTTGCGCACGTAGCCTTGCGTTCATGCTCTTCCAGCACGTGCAAAATCGCGATGCGTGTGTCTACTGTACTGTAAACACATGTGAATATGTTAACGTAGACTTCCCTTCTTCACACGTATATAAGTTGAGTGTACGTGCTCGTACTGTACGTGCACATGGGTGTTAGGACCGACTGTGTGTGTACTTTTACATTTTAATCAAATAAGCATCCTGTTTGGAGACTACGCGCCTGCCCTGATAGTCGCCGAATATGTGTGTGTGTGTGTGTGTGTGTGTGTGTGTGTGCGTGCGTGCGTGCGTGCGTGCGTGCGTGCGTGCGTGCGTGCGTGCGTGCGTGCGTGCGTGCGTGCGTGCGTGCGTGCGCGTGCGCGTGCGCGTGCGCGTGTGAGTGTGTGCGTGCGCGCGTACGTGCGTGCGTGCGTATTTATTACTGTAATTTATTCCTCAGCTTATTAGAAATTCTCTAATCCTTGTACTCATCTCTATTCAACAATAATATGTGTGTGTGCGTGCGTGCGTGCATGTGTGAATGTTATTGTGGGCTTGTTTGCATGTGTTGTATTTGCAAGTGTGTACGTGCGTGCATAGGTGGCCATTTATTCGCAAATTTGCAGGATGGAACTCTAAATATTGTATTTCGCCTCTTTCCTTAGGGATGTTCCTCATTACTAAAAGTAAAACCCTATACATGTATATACTCGCTTCACAGCCTGTGATGACCTTGTACCCGGTCTCTCTGGATTTATTGTTAAGCAATGTCCTTTGCTTAGTGACGTCAAATATGCGTCCTCCTTTCCACGTAATTACATGGCTGTCTAATTCGGCTGCAAATTCACGCATGTTGCATGCTAGTTTGAATAGAGGCCTATTTGAAAGATGCATATTCTAAGGTGTCTGTTCATAGATGCTTGAAATTAGACCATGAAGGCTTAATGAAGTTTGTCGAAGTTTGCAGGAACAGGCAGCAGTTGAAGGTCAGCATAACACGGCCTAGTAAATCAGCAAACGACGCAGGTTATTATAACGTAATCATAATGACTGATGTCGTTGTGTCTTGGTAAACTTTTTGTCATCGGCTTGTTCGACGCATTGTCGCGTTGTCTCGGCGTTCTTTATGGTTTAGCTGCCAAATATCGCAACCCGTAAGTGCATTTCTATTATGCGTCACGTCGCGTGATGGCCATAACAGGAATGGAAGTATTAAGAAGCGGATTTGGCAGCTGTTCGAAAACATCGATCGTTTATCTGCGCTTATAGTTATAGCCTTCTAATGGCGCTGTCACACCTCCGTATGAAAGCCAGCGTATACCGACGTATGCAAAATTTGGTGAATACGCTGGCGTACGTCGAACAAGTTATGGGTAAAGGGTTAGGGTTTTTTTAATTTTTTTTTTTTTAAATATATTATTTTAATATCCCTCTGATGCATGCTTTAAAGTGGTGTATAGGTATAGGGATAAGTTAGTAAGCAAGTCCAGAACGTGTTTGTAGTAAAAAATCTCAAGTTTTGTCTGTCAGATTTCAAATTAAAAAAACTTAGGGTCGGCCCTAATAATCTAGGGACGGTCGGTCGACCGGAAACACACAGGTCTATTTTTTTGTTTGGCCTAAGCTTTGTATAAGTTAAGAGCACGCTGAAGCACACTGAAGCACGCTGGTATACGTCGTAGTACTGCGAGGTCGTCGAA